CACATATGTAAGTGACTGTGGCCCAGGCCCTCGATGATGTCGAGCTCTGGGATTGTGCAGCAAGGAGGGAGGGGAGACGTGGAACGTCAGGGGGCTGAAGCAGTGGAGGGATGGGTGGAGGCAAGAGAAGGGAGGAAGGGGTCGGGTGGAACAGCTCTGCATGACATCGTAACGTGCCACAGAACCACACCTCCAATGACCTGGAACATCAAGACGAGCGCATCTTATGAGCTTGGGCATTCCCAAGCCTGCTTCAACTCCATAACAATCAATTATCCTGGCGAAAGAACCAACCCTATGCAACTGCGTGTAGTGCGGGGCACGGTCTTCTCCTCATATACAATAAACCGCGGGATAGTGCGGACAGGGGGCTGCGGAGCAAGTACACGGACACCATGCGATCGTGCCCACTAACGCCAAAGTGGATATCTTTAAGGGGCCAGAGATCGCTTGGAGGCCACCAGGAAGTCCCCCAAAGCCATTCAGCCCCCCCCAAAAAAAAGAGGCCTCCAAGAGTCCTTCCAAGAAACGACTGCCTCCCTTCCAAGACCCATCCGTTTGTCCCCAATTTGCTCCCACGATCCCCTCAAAATCAACATTACATACACGTCTTGATTACATATAATAATAATCAATCGCTTCATGTGTGTTTCGAAATCCCTCAAGATCTCAACATAACCCATGTGAACCGATACTGCTCATTGTTATTCCATTTCGTCTTTTCAAACTTTTGAGACGAACTTTGGGTGAGCCGCGAAGCACGAGTCGTTGAACGCCGTGGGAACTGGCTGATTCGTGGATTGTCGACTTCTCGATCTTAGTGAAAGCGCCCACGACCGCCAAAGAAGCCACCAAAATTGCTGCAAGGGGCCCCGAGACAATAACATGCCCCCTCAGGAGACCTCTAACCAACATTCCGGTCCACAAACCAAGCATCGTGGCGAGATTGGCCGCATGCCACCAAATCCGCCGACCCTGTCAGCGTGTGGAAGACGCTCTTCCGTTGGTCGCCGTCGTCGTCTCTGTTGTCTCCGTCGTCTCCTCGTCGTCTCCGTCGTCGTTTCCGTCTCCGTCGTCTCCTCGTCGTCTCCGTCAATCGTCGCCTCCGTCGTCCCCCGTCTCCTTTCCCTGGGCCCTCCTCCTTAAGCGCGCCTGCCAAACCGACATTGATCAACGTCGTAGCTGAATCGAAAGGAAGCCCTTTCCCTTTGGGGGGGGTCCCGGGAGGTGACGCCCAGGGACTGGGTCCCTGTGTGTGTGTGTGTGTGTGTCTGTCTGGCGGGGGGGGGGTCCTGGGGGGCGGGTCCCCCCCAGGCAGTTCGGGGGCCAAGAGGAGCTTCGAGGGTCCCGAATCGCCGAATTATCGGTCCAAGACGCCGAAGTAGCACTCCCAAGAGGACTCCAAGGGGCAAACATTCACAGATTTTTTTTTTTGGTAAGTTTCAAAGATTTTGGCGTTGTCGCCTTGTCGGCTTGCCGACGCTCCAAGACAGCCCAAGAGGCCCCCAAGATCGCCCCAGATGCCCCCAAGAGGGCCCCAAACGACCCAAGAGGGACCCAGGACCCCGCAAGAGGCCTCCAATACAGCCCAAGAGGCCCCCAAGACGGCTCCAAGAGGGAGCGAGGCCCCCAAGAGCCTCGCGAGCGGCCCCAAAACTACCTCCAAGAGGACCTCGAGAGCGCTCGTCGTCGTCGTCGTCGTCGTCGTCGTCGTCGTCGTCGTCGTCGTCGTCGTCGTTATCGTCGTCGTTATTGTCGTCGTTATTGTCGTTGTTCAGGGTCGGCGGCATCCGCCATAAGGCTCCTCCAATACTCAAAATGACCAGAACAAACCTTCTCGACCGAACTTCGAATGAATGTGTGGAAGACGCGTTTACTCAAATCGATACTAACATTATCCTTGACATTGTGGGAAACCTGTGGGGATGTCTTTCCGTTTTCTAGGTGCCGAATCTAACGACGCTGCGCCGGCTCTGGACGATGCGCAAACAACTCAACTACCCCAATGTATGTTGTCGTGTGATATCCCATGCCGTTTTGCGCAATCGATTGCTAACCACGCTCAAAACAACTCGATCAGCATGGCCCGCCGCCAGGTGACGGGGTAGTCATTTAGGCGCACGTCTGTGATAATGGTGGGGCATTGCAGCCTTTTCCTGCATCTCTGGCCCAGTTGAGACTAAGAGACAGCACAATGCGTGCGTGCGTGCGTGACCACTGTTTTCCAGTTCTTCTCGTGGGGCAAAATTATTCTGGTGTGCCTAAATCATCTTTGATGGTGCAGGTCGCTGTGAATGCTACGTGTGAGAACAGCCCTGCACCGCACCGCCACATGATGCAGCTCTGGAGCGTTTCGACTGCTTGGGATACCAAATCGAGCAACTGGCCTGTGCCACCTTAGCGCTCCGTGCTCAGCCTGTCAGATTCTGCCAGACGGGAGCAGACATGGTCTTACCGACCAATGCCATGGGTACTGTGAGATCTTAGAGCTGCGATTCGCTAGCTAGTAAGAGCAAGTGCACGCTGAGAGGACCTTCAGACCAGACCCCTACGTACCACTCTGGACTGAACGTCTTCGGTGTTTGCTGGTGGCAACAAATTCTGGCGTCAAAACCGTCTGCGCCACCTGCCGTTGGCATACCCGTTTTTGCATGACAAATGCTTGCGCCACGAACCGTTGACTCACCTTCATTGGCGTCTCTCTGAACTGTTTTTGAAGGGATTGGTCCGTCGCTGGCCCCTGGTGCGGCGCTGCGAGACACGCCGAGGCTGATGAAAAGGTCCTCTTCGAAGGCCGCCATCTTCAGGTTCTGTGAGAGGCAGGGCGCCGGGGGTTCCTCATTGCCCTCGTAGCCCTGGCGCCAGCTAGTTCTGAGCATTTCGGCCTGAGGCGGGTGTGGCAAAATTGTCCTCTCTCTTTTTACCTTCGTGCCTCCGTACCTCCACGACTGCGCCTCACGTTGCGCGCGAGTCCCTGCTGCCTCGCCCGGAGTTCCCCTCCTCATAGTTCATCCTCTGAGGGGCAACGATGGGGGGGACTGGCACGGGGGCGATGCGTCGACTTGGAATCGGAGATACATCGCCGACAGATGGACGAGAGGCCCCCGACAGTGAATCCGCACCTTCCTGTGCGGGTTGGGGTTCTCGGGCCCCTATCGGCGAGGGGTCTGCGTCCCCCCTATCGTTGCCGCCGACCCTCGCTTCTCCCCCTCCTCGCCGTCCCGATGCCTCCTCCCGGTCGCCTCGGCCCGCAGGGCCCGGTTGGCGATGCGGTCCAGCAAGGGAAGGGCCAGAGCGCCTCTGCAAAGCGACGAGGTCATGATGCAACGGACGGAGCGGGAGCGGTAATGCCGTGGGGAGGAGCAGGGATGAGGATGATGATGATGATGATGATGATGAGGATGATGAGGATGATGATGATGATGAGGATGATGAGGATGACGAGGATGATGAGGATGATGAGGATGATGAGGATGCTGATGATGATGCTGCTGCTGCTGATGATGATGAGGATGAGGATGAGAGGGGGAGGGGAGGATGCCGAGGAGAATGAAGAAACAGGCCGATTACATGAGCGTGTGTGCCGCCACGTCCCGAACTTCTGAGAGTAAGGCTGACAGGCGATGTTCCTCCCCGATTCTCTTCTAGGGGCGGGTCCTCATCGGGATAGCAAGCAACACACACACACACACGCACACACACACACACGCACGCACGCACGAACGTACGCACACGCACACGCACACACACACACGCACACGCAAAAAAACACATACACACACGCACACGCGACAACACTCCCGCGCGCATGCGCATGCGCATGCGCACGCGCACGCGCACACGCACGCGCACGCACGCACGCACGCACTCACGCACGCACACACACGCACACACGCACACACGCACACACGCACACACACGCACACACGCACACACGCACACACGAACACACACACACACACATACACACACAACACACGCGCGCACACGCAAACACGACACACGCACACACGCGCACACGCGCACACACGCACGCACGCATACACTCACGCACGCACACACGCACACACGCAACGCACGCACACACGCAGCACACGCTCACACACGCACTCACGAATTCACATGCAAACGCACACACGCACACACGCACACGCGCAACCACACCTACACACACGTACTCACATCTACACATATATCTACATATGTATAGAGAAAGTATGCATATTTGTGTATACATAGACACAACTATATATCACAAAGCGACGGGGCTGGTGAAGAATATCTGCTTGACAGTGTAACTGGTCATACTGTTATCTCACATGGATTGTCCAAGCACTGTGGTCAACACTCTCACCGAATGCAGCGCAGCCCAAAGACGTGCTCTGCTGGCCCGATTCAAGCACCCACGCGAATCCAGGACATCAGCTCGTCAACTTAATTGTGAACTCGCTGAAATACACCGCGGCACGACATAAGGGAGCGACAATGGTTCTGCAAGGCGACATTATTAGGGTAACCCTGTGCCGTTGATCATCACACCATGGGGATAATGAAATTCGGGGCCGCGGGGGGATAATCACATATTTTCACGGCAAGTCGCATGTAGGCATATACGGTGTACGGATGTAGGAGCACGAAGCCTGAGACATTCTCCTCGTACTTAAGAAAGATAAGGAATAAAGAAAAGAAGGGAGAGAAGGAGGGGAGGAGAAGGAGAAGGAGGAGGGGGACGACCAGGAGAGGGAGGAGGATTGTAAGGATAAGATTTCCAGAGAAATCGAAGTTTCGGATCAATCGAATTCTTAAAGCAAAGCTAAGCGATGATTTGTGGTTTTCTAGCGCCGTGTGCAAGTACTCATGGTTGCTCTTTGGGTCGATAATCAATGATGGCGGTAAACAGGTTCAGTCGGGGCGCGGAGGGATGAAGAATGATAATCATGAGGAGGTGATTCTATGTATGATTCGTTTTTCCCTGGTGGTAACTAATCAAGTTCGGCCTCACCGCTCCTCCCGCCTATCAAATACAACTATCCCATGGATAATCATGACTCAGGTGTTATGGGGGGATGCTTTATTATCGCGGGCATGCGGTTGGATGTAGGAAAGATGGTAGGAGGGGAAATGAGGAGAGAGGAGGCTACGGGGAACGAGGGGACGGTCACACGAAGGGAGGATGGGAGCAGGGAGCGCAAACGTGGAGGGATTGACCGGTGTGAGGGGCGGAGGTAGGAGGGAAGCACAGTGGAGAAAAGTGGAAGCGTAGGACCCATGCGCAACTCCGTCGACGTCTTTTTTTCGGATCTCTGGGCGGATGAGCTCTGGACTCCTCTCTTTGGACTGCTGTTTAGGTCGGGCGTTTCCCCCTACAGGCGGATTTAGGACGAAAAGTAACAAATAATTAAACACAACTTCAAAAATATTCAGAAACATACTAGAAAAATCGTCCCCTGACTATTTTTCAAACTATTTTTGAATATGCCTCCTGTAGAGGAACAGGCACGACTTAAGAAAACGGCCTCAAAATGCCGAAGCTGGCAAACAACAAAATGCGTGGCGATTGGTTCGAACCGCCGATGGTCTGGGCCCTCCGTTTCAACATCGACCCATGGTCCCCTCCTGGAGCAGCTCTGACGAGAATCTCGAAGGGAATCCGGCCGTGGCGACGAGGACGTCCCCAGAGCCTCATTGAATCTCATACACAACATGTGCGAAACCCCCCCAGTCCTCGACGGTCTGAGTCGTCAGAGGTCTCGGGGTGGAGACGAACACCAAATTCCGCCCACCGAAGCATCGAGCCGGTCCCCAGTCGGAAGCGCGAGGTGCCCGAGCGCCCCCCCCCCCGCGAGCTCCGACGCGGCGTCGAGCGAAGCGCGAGGCGACCGATCGCGCCGAGCCTGTAGAGCACACCGGCAGCAGCATGGACGATCGGATCGGTTTGAGATCGGCTGAGGCCGACGTGTTCTCCTCGCGAAGGGCTAAGGGGCCCGTACGGTTTCAGGTTTCGGGTTCAGCGAATTCCTACCAAAAGGCAGCGCTGGCCGACTACTCGCTGCTACTACGTTCCGCCCCCTCGCTCTCTAGGGAAGATGTCACTACTTGCTGCCACTCTTCCATTAGACGGAAGAATCAAGGAGTTCATGCCAAGGGCTCAGACGAGGTCCGAGAGCATCCGAGCACAACAGACCCCGAGAACAAAAATGAGCATCGGCTGACTCTTGGCCGTCTTTTAGTCGTTCTGTTGGCTCTCGAGGAGCCTGCCGCGGGGTTTGTTTGCTTGTTCCTGGATCCCCCTTCTGGCCCTCCGTAGACACCCGTAATTTGAAGGGAACGCACCACCCTCTCCACCTGGGGAGTGCAAGACTTGCTGACTCGTGGGGTGCTGATGTGCAAGATGCGGGAGCGCCAGAACAAGCATGCACCACCGCTGCCCCCCGAGACCCCCGCGTACGGCTCCTCTCGGGCCGGGCGAAAGGGGGGAATAGCAAAGGGGGGGTTTGAGAATCAGCTCACGTATGTAGCTGATTCTCCCGGCGCCGGAGGCGGCCATGTATCGAGGAATGGGCCCCTCGGCGAGGCCGAAACCAGCTGCATGCAGCAAATTTCGTAACCCCTAAAACAGGGCTAGGATCGGGATAAATCGCTCCAGAGCGTTCCGGAGCGCTCTCAGAGCGTTCCGGAACGCTCTGGAGCGGCCGCGGCGCCCAATACATCCTCCAAACCCGCCGATTCTCAGAGACTTCGAGTTACCCCGATCCGATTCTGTCCCGATCCTCGCGTCGTTTGATAACCCCCCCTTTCCCAATCCCCCCCTTTCGTCCGGCCCGCTCCTCCATGGCGGTGCTGGTGACCCCCCCTCCCTTGAACGAAGGATTGCAACGAAGGATTGCAAAAAAACCCAGGATTGCAAAAAAACCCAGGATTGCAAAAAAGAAACCCCTCGAACCCCGAAGGATTGCAAAAAAACCCTTCGTTCAAACGAGGGATTTTTTGCAATCCTTCGTGCTGGTGACCCCCCCTCCCCCGGTGCTCGGCCGTGGCGCCGCCGGGCCGGGTCGGCCCCGCGCGGCGCCGCGCGGGGCGCGCCGAGGCCGACCGGGCCGAGCGGGCAGAGATCCGCCGTCCGAGGCGCGAGCCTCTCCGCGCCCTCGGGCGGCCACCCCGGGTCGGCGGCAGGCGCAGGGGGGAAAGCGAGAAGGAGAGGTTGGCCACGCGCAGAAGGGGGTATGGGGGAGGGGGGAAGGCTTCTTAGAAGCACCCCTGCTTCTTAGAAGGCGCGGGCCTTCTTTGTAGATGTAAGGCCGGCGCCTTCTAGGAAGCAGCCTCCTTCTAAGACGCCTTCCCCCCTCCCCCTTCCCGCTTGTGCGCGCCGCCAAAGAGGGCCTTCTCGGAGGGCGGCGGGACTTCCTCGGAGGCCCCCGTCGCGCCTTCCGAGATTATTTTTGTTGGTCCTCGGGGGAGGGCTCGGGAGAACTTCTCAGGAGGCCGGGGGACCTCCGAGCCTTCTGAGAGGGGCCTTCTCCTTCTCACTTCCCCCCTCCTCGCTCGCCGCCGACCGGGGACTGGCAGGTCTTCTGGCTCAGGCCGCGGCGCACGATCACTTTCACGTCTCCGCTGGTGCCCCAGACGATCGTACGGCCGGATCTGGGACAGAAGAACATCCCTTCAAGAACATGAGACCCCCGCCAGCCCCAATCGAAGAACATTCGAGGGTAGCCTCCCCCAGGATGCGCAAGAACACCCAACAATAGGGACAAGAACAATTTCATAAACATAAAAACTCTGAGGTCCGCGCTTACCTCCGAGTTTGTATGTTTATGTCATGTTCCGTTCCCTAATTAGAGTAACCTCCCCGCACCGACCTCGATCTTTCTAACTCGGGCCGACCGTGGCGGAGCGTGGAAAAGGCTCAGGCTCAGGTCGACAGGCGGATTCCAGATTTTAGTTTGGACAATTTTGGAATACTCCTCCTGTAGGGGCAGATGCCCGACGTAAGCTCAGGCCGACCCCCCCGCGCACGCAGGTCGGCGCTGGGGATCATCGAGGGCGTCCAGGAGGGGGGCGTCCAAGAGGGGGGGCGCAAACCATGGCCAGCGGCACGTGCGCGGCCCGGGGGGGGGGGAGGGGCCAGGGACGTATAATGCGCCAAGAGGAGGCGCCGTACAATCTGGGGAGATCTCCTGGCCCACGCCATGACCTTTCCACCCCCCTCCCCATAGCCACCCACCCCCCCTCTCCTTTGAAGGGGCCCCGGGACACACAAATAAATACACACAAATGAACATATTCTCCATATTTTCCTACATTTTCTGGGCTTTTGTCTTCCAACCCACTTCCCATATTTTCCCATATTTTCCTGGGAATCGACGATTCATTGTGTCTGTGTGTTTTTTCCCCTCCTGATCCTTGGCCGCGCCCCCGAGGAGGGGCTCAGGCCGAGCCCCCCCGCGCACGCCGGGCGGCGCCCGGCGCCCCGCGGCGGGCCCGCGGGCGGCGACGGGGGCGCCGGCGGCGAGAGGGGGCGGGTACCCCGCGGGCGCGCGGGCCTCCCAGCGTGAAGAGCGCGTTGTAGAAGGCGCGGAGCTGCGCGCGGGAGGGCGGCGCGAGAGGGGAACGAAGAATGCCGCGAGCATCAAAATGCGGAGGTCCGCGCGGATTTCTCGGATCGGCGCTGGACCCCCATCCCCGGCGCTGGGGGCGGCGCCGGGGTGGCCCAGCGCGGATCCAGGAAATCCGCGCGGACCTCCGCATTTTGATGTTTGTGGCATTGTTCGTCCCCCTGGACGACAGACCCAGCCGTGACCTCGAAATCCTCAAAGGCCTCACTGCAGGGTCCGTCACCGCACGGTCTTGGGACCCTGGAGTGCCGCAGTCGCCCGAGACGTCGTAGGAGAACGACCCAAATCCCAGAACCGTGCGGTGACCCCGAATCCCCACCGGCTCACCACACGGTGTGGCCACCGCACCGTTTGGGGGCCCCCGAGACGACGCACACCCACGGAGCCACTGCAGGAACAGTCGGCTCAACAGAGAGCTCTAGGGCCGACCATCAAAGCGAAGACTTCAGGCTCTGAACCCGCGCGAGGGCGATGAGGCAGGAGAGGAGGATAGATGAGCAGGAGGAGGAGGAGGAGGAGGAGGAGGAGGAGGTGGAGGAACCAGAGGGGGGTGGGTGGGAGGGGGATGTGAGGGGAATGGCCCGAAATTGGTAAAACGCACAGATTTCTGCAACACATAAACGAGGGGAACGGCCCGAAATACGTAACATGCACATGTTTCTGCAACGCATAGAAAGAAATCGCTACCTAAAAATTTCTGGCAATTCTGAATCAACTGCCGGAAGCTCACCCGCGGACAGTGGCCGAGACAGGGGCTAGGCTGGAGCGCAGAGGGAATAACATAAAGTGATCTCAATCCGAAAAAGTCTGGAGCCCGAGCCCAGAAGCCAGGGTCCAGAATTTTGGACTCCGGGGCTGAATTCTGGCTTCTGGATTTGACTTTGGATTGAACCTCCTCATCCTGACACTCAGGAGTGCACGAAGGAGGGAAAGCTCAGGGACGAAGAAGACATGACCATCCAGGAGGGGGTGAACCCAAGGACGTGAAGGACAAGGAGGAAGTTCATAAGGACGGGGATGAGGAGGAATGGACAAAAAGGGAAAGAGGACGCATAAGAGGACTCGATGCCTGCCTCCAGGGGCCTTCACGAATCCTCCCCATGCAACCGCCGCCTCTACTGCAAGATGGAAATACAACGATGGGCGATGGGCTGAATGCTGGATGGCCCGGGCAACCGCCATACACGCGCGGCCGATCTCCGAAAGCTTGATTGAAGTTCCTAGGGCGCCAAGTGCAGCCCCTTCCCGCATTCCTCATCATAGTTCAACTGGTCACGAGTACCCTTCCCCTTCCCTATCCTTGAAGCTCACTCTCGTTTGGCTTGTAAAACGCTGTCATTTTCTGTCAGCGATGTTGACTAGTGTCCCTAGACCAGATGGGCGCCGACGAACCCCAACTGGTACCACCCCCGACCAACCTTGCACTGCGCTGCCAACGATAGCCTGCACTCGGAGCGTAGGTGACTTACGAAACTCTCTCCTCCAAATCCCGTCCCTTCCGCCAGTGTGGGACAGCGCACAAGGCGCTGTCCCACTACCTCTGCCAAACAATCCAACAACATCATTGCGGGTGCACATGCCGGACACCATGCTCACCTCCCTTCCACCTCTTTGCACTGGCTTTTGAAACGGATGGTCGGTGGGCCTACATCTTGCTCGACGTGTACTGCCAGGTGCGCTGGCGCACCTGGCGGTCTGTTTGCGCTGGCACACCTGGCGGGACTGGCGCAGGTGGCGCACTTGGTGTACGTGGAGCGCGTGGCGCATCTGGAGCACCAAGCGCGTCTGGCACGCTCAGCCCCCCCGTTGCACCTGGCGCTCGTGTCGCACCTCGCGAGCGTCGCGCCTCTGGCGTCTGCATTGGTTCCCAATGGCTGTCCGTCCAATGGCGATCTCTGGCCAGGCTGAATCTCGGGTGCTCCCTACATGGTGAAGGGCGGGCAATAATGAACCAAACAGCTTGTGGTGCTCCCGTGGGACTTGACCCATCCCCCATTCCCCCTATCACCTGGGTCCTGACGGCTCCCGCTGGTAGGTAGAACGTCCAAGCTGGCCTTAGATAGCTCAAGATCACCTCCAAGACGGTACAACATGGTCCAAGCTGACTCAATATGGCTTCTATCATGCCTCCAAGAGGCCCACAAAGGCAACTCCCAATAGCCGTTGAGCCACCCAAAAGCGCGTCCGAGAAACCTTCTCGCGTTATCGTTTCCAATGCGATTATACGGCCTCATCTTGGCTCCACGATCACCCAAGAGAGACTGACACTGAGGCCCACAAGGGCACCAAGACGGCCCCAGAAGGTCTCTGATAGCGTACCAAGAGGAGCCCAAGAACAATGTGTTTGGCCCTTATGGGGGGGCTCATTTGAGGGTCCTTCTTCGCTCATGCGTGCAGCAATTAAGCCACATAAGCTTGCGTCAAACATGCTGGCAGCTAGGGGGTATCGGTAGGCGGCTTCTGGGCCAAATATTGGCTCCAACGCGGCTCCACATGCCCTAAACTGGCCTCCAATCTACCGCAGCGTGTTCCGAGCTGGCCTCAATGCCTCCCAAAGCCCACAAGACAGCTCCAAATGGTCGCGGAACCTCTCAAAGACGCGTTCGAGAGGCCATCATCCGTCAAACACATACGCTGTTCTCAATGATGTGTGCCTTCTCGCCATTTCGCCTCCGATGAGCTTCTCAAGCCCCAATATCGCTCCACGGTCACTCAAGAAAGCTCCAAGAGGGACCCAGAAGGGCTCCAAGACAACCCAAATGGGCCCCGCCCCAAGTGCGTCCCAAGAAGGCGTTGTTTCTGGCTCCCAACAGGGGGGCCGTAATTGACCTCCCCGTGCACTGTTTTATGCATGGCCTCCAATATTACCTCAAGAGGGCCCCGAAGGCTCCCAAGACGGCCACAAGAGAGCCCGAAAAGCATCTAACATTGTCCCAAGAGCGCTCCAATGTGACCCCAATGACCCTCCAAGAGGCTCCCAAACTATCAGATCCGCGAAAGCCTTTGACTCCTGGGTCCGCTAAGGCTGATCCCGAACTTCATGTTGGCGGCTGACCCCCCTCTTTGTCCGCTGCACGCTCCTACACTTCCCACACGTCCCTGATCAAAACATCTCGCCTTGGGAACACTTCTGGATGGGCCGGCGGGGATACGTAAAGCGTCAACGCGCTCCGATTCCCGATTGACCTCACGGACCTGCAACGCCGGCACTGCCAATACATTGACACTACCCCCGACTAGCACCGACCATTGCTTTTGTAGAAAAGAAATTACATAGATAAAACACACAAATAAAAACCCAGAACTTTCCCGGAACTTAAACGGAACTTTTTGTTGAACTTCTCGAGGAAATCCCCAGGGGGGCCCCTTTGCCTTGGAGCAGCATTGCAAGACCAGCTCCACTGCCGTGCGGTGCCGACGATGCCACTCGTTCCCGCCAGTCCCGACTACTTGTGTTGGGCCCGCCATGGCCCCGGCAAGCCCCGGGCTCCGACTGCGGGCCCACTGGTCCGACTGGCCCCCGGCCTGACCGCAGGGCTGCCGTCGACGGTGCAGTTCGAGGCCGCTGGCCACGACTGACGTCCTCCTCCTCCTCAGGTTCCTCCTCCTTCCTTTCCTTTCCTCCTCCTCCTCCTCCTCTTCCTCCTCCTCCTCCTCCTCTTCCTCGTCCTCCTCCTCCTCCTCCCCGACTGCATGCACCCGCCGCCCTGCAATGCCGACCGTGCTGTGCGCGGCAGCTAGGCAGCCCAGACCGGCTCGACAGCGCCGTTGTGTAGACATTGCCAGCAGATGCCGCTGGCCCCGACTGGCCAAGTCTCGCACAACTGCGCTGCAACGCCAGCCATGCCAATAGTTGCCACTGGTTCCGACTTGCCCTACTAGCTCTGTTGTCTGGAAAACTAAACGATGCTGGGAAATGCCACTGGTCCGTCCCACCTATTGCCAATTGCCGATCCCGAACTCATGTCCGTCTCTGGCCGTGATGTGTGCTTCTGTTGGACGCGCGGGGTGCGTTCTCTCCCCCCACGTCTCCCCCCACGTCACGGTAAGCGCCAAAGAAGCATCGTTAGGCCTCCCTTCCAGAAGCTGCAACTCGATCCAAGGGAATTCATGTTCGGTATGTCCTGCTGTTGAACTGTTTTTCCCCAACCAATACTTGCACTGAATGGGGTCCTAGCGGAGATTGAAAGATTTGGCGAAAATTCCAGGCCGATTTTGATAGGCGGCCAAATTCCCCGGGGTTCCCGGGCGCCCATCTGCTGGTTCCGGGCCGATTTCGGTAGGCGGCGGGGTTTCCGGGCTCCCGATTTCCTCGTCAGTTTCCTCATCGATCAGTCTCACCATCGATCTCCTTACCCATTTCTCTATCGATCTCTCAATCGATCTCACTACAGATTGTACGAGTGATCTCACGATCGATCTCACTGAATCGACTTCACTATCGGTCTCACGATCACTCTTACCATCGTCCTCACGATCGATCCCGCTTTCGATCTCACTATCGATCTCAATATCCATGTCAATCATCTTCAAACGATCCATTGATTGGGTTCGCTGGTGTAATGTTTTAATGCTCGGTGGTCATTTACAACGTGCTCAGATAATGGTTTAACTTACATGATCCTGTGTAATGCGTTTCGGACATCGCACCCGGATTCCGATGATTCTTAGGCTCGACGCTGTCCCAATGCCTGTGACCACATGCTTGCTCATTATTACACCAGAGAAAAAACAAATCAATGGATTGTTTGAAGATGATTGACATGGATATTGAGATCGAAATGGGTAAGGAGATCGATAATGAGACCGATCGCTAAAGAGATCGACGAAGAGACCGGGAACCCACGACCCCGGGAAACCCGCCGCCTATCGAAATCGGCCCGGAACCAAAAAACGGGCACCCGGGAACCCAGAACCTGGGAACCCGGGATTCTGGCCGCCTACCGAAATCGGCCCGAAGTTTCGCCAAGTCTTTCAAATTGTACCAGAGAGAAACCCTAATCAGTAGATGGTACGAAAATTAGTGATATGGATATTGAGATCGATTGTGAGATCGATAATGGAATCGACAGTGAGGACGATTGTAAACTCGATCGTGAGACCGATAGTGAAATCGATTCAATGAGATCGATAGTGCGATCGATCGCGAGATCGCTCGTGCGATCTATAGTGAGATCGATTGTGGGATCGATAATGAGATCGATTGTGAGATCGATAGAGAAATAAATAATGAGATCGATAATGAAACCGATCGATAAGAAGATCGACCAAGAACCCGAGAACCCGGGAACCCCAACGCCCACCGAAATTGGCCCAGAACCCGGAACTGGGAACCTGGACGCCCACCGAAATCGACCCGAAACTTCCGCCAAATCCTTCAATATCCGCTAGAACCCCTTCAATGCAAGCACTGATTGGGGAATCTCCGCTAGGACCCCTTCAGTGCAAGCACTGATTGGGGAATGAACAGCTGTGTCGCGTACGAATGCAACATTCAGTTTATGCAGCGACGCATGTCGTAGCATTTGACACAACAATGACGGTGGCTAGGATTGCACGACTTTCTTGGTTTGGATCTTCTGATGGGCATGCTTCCGACTGTATTATCGGTTCTACGTAGTGCTTCCAAATTGCAGCATCCATACTTCCGAATAGCTCCTTTGCCTTTGTTATGCTGATTTTTACAGTTTGCGGCGCACGCGCTGGCTTCACATGACTTCGGCGCGCTTTGTTACTGCGCGTAGGTGCTCTTCATCATTCTCAAGTTATGAAGACCCGGTTCGGCTCCCTGGTGTCTCTGGCCTGCCAGCCCCCTCTCCCCCCATCTTCGGATATCTTCGATCTTCGACCTTCGATCCGCCCTTAGGTCGGGCATGTCCCCTACAGGCGGATTTTGGGCGAAAAAATAATAAATAATGCCCCAACATAGTCACACAAATGCTCCAAAAATCGTCCCCAGACAATTTTTTGACTGTTTTCGAATATTCCTCCTGTAGAGGGACACGCCCGACTTAAATTCACCCCCATCCTTCGATCATTCTGGACCAGAAAAATCAAACGATATTACTTCACCTACGGCCCCACGGGCTTTTGCATAGGCCATGATTTCTGGTCTGGGCTTCTGCGTGGTATACGCTACGGCCCCCGATGGTCCGTAGCGCAACATGGAAGGCCGTAGGTAGGTGGTGTCGTTTGGTTTTTGGTCGACATTCTGCCCTCCCCATTTGACCTGTGGTCCTCGGGCCTCCCTCGCCTCTCGGCCCCTCCTCCCCCCTCGGCCTCCGCCACCCTCCAGAGCGAGGCCGCGCGCCGTAGACTCCAGGGACACCGGGTGGAGCTCGGGCACGGCGGCGAGCGGGGTCCCGGGAGGCTTCTCCCTCAGGGCCTGCGGGCGTGGGGGGGCGCCCTCGCTGTCTGATGGCCCGGCCGAGCTGGCGAGCGATGGCGGCGAGGGCGCAAGGGGGAAGGAGGAGGAAGAGGAGGAGGAGGAGGAGGAGGAGGAGGAGGAAGAGGAGGATCAGGAGGAAGGGGACAGGACAGGACAGGACATCCGCATGAGGGGGTTTACGTCGAATCGCCCGTGAAGGAGCCGTGGGGTACGGCTTGCAAAAATCCACCGCGATGGTTCTTGTGCCCAGGCCCATACATCGATCGCATGGGGGCAGGGGGCGTACCCCAGGCTCTAAGGGGGCGAGCGCCGAGGCAGGCCCCGTAAAATAGGCTCGCAGACTGACGAATCCCTACGGGTCAATGCGGGGGGGAACAGCTGCTGGCCTGTTCGCGTGCCCACTCAGGGGGGATGCGATGGCGAACAAGGTTCCCAAGTAAGGGGCTCCCTGAACTCCCCTTTAATTTTGTGAGAAAGTGTACACTCCGAGATGCCCTCGCTAGTTCGCCCAGCTCTCGCTGCGCCGAGACAGATGCTTCCCGCGCCAAGCGCGCTCAGAGATGCACAACCTCTGTATTTTTCCGTCCTCTGCAAGGTCGCACTGACTACATCAGAAAATCGGAGGATACGTGCGGCGCGTGCAGAAGATTTGCGCGACATCTCCGTGCGGATAGAGGATCGAGGACGAGTGCCTAAGAGACGAGAGGGGGGAACGCAGTATTTTTCTCCGCGCCAAACGCGCTCAGTTGATCCTCTGTTTTTTCTCTGAAAGAGCGTGAACTTCACGGGGTAGCAGTTGTGTGCTTGTCTTCCATGCTGGCAAGAACTCCAATGCTTTCCCATTCCGAAATAACGAACTCAACTTCGGGCAAAATGCGAAGTGTGCCGCTGGAAGACACTTGATGCTGTATTTCTTTTGCAACAGGAAGATGATCAATTCTGTTCCACATGATGTGGTATATGGTTTCCAAAATGTGTCTTTGCGCTCCTCATTGAAGTAAACCTCCTCCTCGCCCATCTCCCCGCGCGAATCCATCCGTTGTTTCTGAAAGAAGTCCTCTGCCTCAGAGATTGGTTCGTTCTTTACTTAGTCGAACAACCTGCTTTCTCCTGCATCCGGCGGCAGGCCCGCCGGATTCCCAATGAGTTCTCGAAGTTCATCATCGGCAGAGGCCAATGACCTCCGAGCCTCGGGGCCTCCATCTTCCCTCTCTGTCGCCCGCTTTTGTCTGCGCCGCGGCCACGAGGCTCTCTCTGCGCGTCTGGCGCTGCAGTGCTCTGACTCGGCACCTCTCGAGGCGACTCGAGTGCAGCGGCCCCCATTCAGGGGGGAGCAAGTGGCCGCGCCTGTCCAGCCTCAGACTGTTGTCCTCTGAGAGAGTGGTCATGGGTTTTCGAGGTCCATCGATGGCGAAGGCCAATGGCCTCCGAACCTCGGGGCCTCCATCCCTCTGGCTTGCGTCGTCCAACTTATCTCGCCGACGGGCAAATGAGCGCCGACCTGGGCCAATGGGGTTCAATTGGCGCGGTTGGTCTTCGATCTCCAGTGCCAACTTTTCCAAAACAGCCGTTCTCTGCTTTTTTGGCCCCTCACTTGCTAAGATCACACTCCAATCTTCCCTCGGGATTTGGGTAGACGCGGCGCGTGTAATTTCCGTCGCCGGAAGAGCAAGGGTCTATGGGTTTTTGAAGTTTCTCATCGGTCGCAGCCGATGGCCTCCGAACCTCAGGGCCTCCATCTTCCCTCGACCTGTTGTCGTCCATCCTCGCTCGCCAGCGGACAAATGAATGCAAAGCAAGCCCAATTGGATTCCATTGGAGCAATTGTTCTTCAATCTCCTGGCGCAGCTGCTCCCAAAGTTCTTCATTGGCACGCTCAAGTTGCCTCTGGACCCCTGGGCCTCCCTCTTCCCTCTGGCAACTGCTGTCCAGCGACGGCACTTGACCAACCAATTGTTTGCAAGTGCCAATCCTGGCGATCTGGATTTCCGAGCGTGAGTACGGTGGATCCGTTCTCTCCGTCTTTGGCTCGTCGTTGTTTCCAAGGTCGCACTCCAATCCTCCATAGACATGTGGAAAGTTGCGGCAAGAGAGTTCCATCACCAGATTACGACCCTGTCACGCGAGAAGGGGTTGCAAAAGGTACGGCATCGGAATGGCTGCAGGGATTGTGCTGTTTATCCTCTCCGTTCCTCCTCCCCGCTACTCCCTCTCTGGCCTGATAGTGGAGAATGTATGAGGCGGAAGTCGGGTGAGTGAGTGTCAGTGAAAGTCCTCGCTCCTTCGCGGATCACAGTGCTCGAGCTCCAACGCCAACTAGGAGAAGGAGGGGGAGGAGGCATCAGCAGGCCAGCAGGCCAGATCTTGCGAAGCGGAACAGGGGCATCCGCCGCCATTTGTCTCTCGCGATTACATCCTTCTTTTCCTCCCAGCCGCCAACGGGCTGTGGGGCTAGCTAGCCTGGCGCAGGCGTCAGAGGGCCGTGCGAGCCAGGACTCGAGTCCTGCTCAGATTGGCCAAAACATCGGAGATGGTCAACAGCTGCCACAGCAGCCCGATGTCGAAACAGTGATGGACATGCTCACGATGCCGCGCCACGTTGCCAGTAACTCAATGGACATGCACTTGCGGATGGGAATGGCGAGCGCCTCGGGCTCGTTCGCAAAGTCGTCATCCGACCATCCCGAACAACAAGGAGAACAGGCAGCAACATCAGCAGATCCAGAATATCATAGGAGATGTGACACCAGCCCTGCCAGCAGAAACGCAAAACCATTCGTCATGGATCGCGCCGCCAGCTGGTCAGGACGACATGCCAAAATTCAAGAATGACGTGCAAGATCGCATGCAGAAGTTAGCATCAACCGTGATCGCCAAGCAGCAGTCAGGCAGATCAGCAGACGAGGAAACAACATATTGCTGTTCTCAAGCAGGCGATATTCAGTACCAAGCCGATTGTGTCCCAGATCCTAGGCCTGCGCGCGCGACTCGAGAAGGTCGTGGAGCAAGTCGGCACCAAGAAGCAAAGATGAGCAGCCTCCAGGAAGAGATCGAGGAGCAACTCAGCGAGAAGGCGGAGCTCGAGCTGCTCATCAAGAGCATGAAGGAGGAGAGGGAGAACAACGAGACCATCGCCGCAAGTGGAGGCGGTCACGTACCAGGCGGAGATGGTGTTGTTCCTGTGACAGATGTTCGCCACCCACCTCGAGCAGTGTCGCAGCCAGACCCGATGGCGGCGCGGATGGCAGCCATCTAAGCTACGCAGCAGACCACATGCTCAACACCGACGGCGATACTGAAGGCATTGCAGGGTCATGGCGCCCAGCTCGGCGCGGCCGCGGCGGCGGAGATCGCGCCGGCAGAGGCGGCGACGGCAGCAAACGCCGGCAGGGGCGGCGACGGCAGCGGCACTAACGGAGGAGGAGGAGGAGGAGGAGTCGGAGTCGGAGTCGGAAGCCTTGGCAGTTCGGTTGCCTCTGTCTCGTTACTGGCAGAGGCTGCTCGCCTGGTGCTCGAGCTTGGGTCTGCTGGCTGTTTCATTCGGCGTGGCAGAGGGACGCCTGCGGGGCCCATTGGCTTATCGAGCCTCTCGGGCCCGCTTCGACACTGGACCGAAAATCCCTCCAACGCAAAAAAACACAGAACGGGTGGGAGGTTATCGCGCGCTGGCGCGTCCCTCCCACTCTCGGGCGAGGTCAAATCGATTCCGAAAATCTCGTGGCCTCTATACTTATAGCCGCTACAAATACTGTCGCACACTCCCTCCCCCACACTCCCACCTCCCCCCAACCCGTCATCTCTACTTGCCTAATGGCCTAACGCCAGTTAGGCGTTGAAGTATTTCTGTTGCTCTCACACTGCATGCTACTACCTGGCGCCTCAATCCTCGAATGCCTACTCCGTGCTCTGCCTCTGGCGCACGTGCTTCTGCACCTGCCGCTCGAGCGCGGTCGGTGGCGGGGCTCCTATGGTCGCCAAGCCCCCTGTTGCCTGCATCGCCCCGTGCATCGTGGCCTTGATCTGGGGGATGCTGAGCGGTTCCAGCTTGGTCGCGCTCTCGGCGTTGCCCGCCCTGATCTTGTTGATCTCGTCCTCCGCGTGGCCGTCGAACGGGCTGAGGCCGAGCGGGTTTATCGTGATGTGTACCTTCCACCGCTCCTGTTGTCCGTTTTTCTAGTAGGCTTTCTTCATCCCCTCTTGAGCCTCACGAGGTCGGCGAACTCGTTGAACGGGATCACGTCCATGATCATGCTGGGCTTGCCCATGTCCTCCTTCAGGTGTGACGGTAGAATCTCGGCTCGGCCCAAGGTGTCCAGGTACTCCGCTGCCACGTAGACGCGCGGGCTGCCCAGGTCCTTCTCCCCTGACTGGCTGCGCTCCGCATATTTCCCGCCCGCTGCCGACCCCTCGTTGGCTGCCGCGTGGTTGTTGCCGTCCACCAGGAAAAAGTCCCACGAACTGCCTGTTCTGCTGCTTTCTTCGAAGCTCCTGCATGCGACGCGACAGCTCCTTCAACTGCTGCTCGACGCGGTCAATCTCGATGGGGCCGTTCCCCTCGAAACTCTTGCTCCCAGTGAGGTGCCGTCGTTGCCGTAGTTCTCCTCTCTCACGTATGAGCTGCATCCTCTGCTCACTCAACAGCTTGTAGTCGATGATGTTATTCTCTTGTTTGGGGAGATGCTCGGTCATCCTGTCTCTGATGCACGCTGATAACAAGTTCCACGCTGTTTGTACTTCCCCATGGTCCCAAGTAGCTCGCCACTGGTCTCCTGGAATCATATTTGTCTTTTCTTCGAACTTCTCGAGAAATCCTTGCTTGCGGTATCCTTTCGAATATGCTGTCATCATCGCATCACGGTTAGCTGGGGGCGTAAACTGTGCTTGATAGGCTCCATTAATTCCAACATCCATTTCCAGCAAAGCCGGTACGTGATCGTGTAAATGTGTCGATCCATACTTTTGCATCCTTCTTCCAAGCATTTGAAGCGTATTGAGTC